TGGCAGAGGAGTATGAAGGAGATCACGAAACGCTTGGGTGCTGTCGGTGCTACTCGCCTTCCAGGATGGGGACCGCGTGATCCTCACTGTGCCTGGTTGGAGACACTACAAGATATGGCTGCCAACCGATGTCAGTGGCGTTCTTGTTGTCAGTTTCTGTCCAGATTGCCTGAGTGAATATCTGGAGGTGTAGGCACCTCGGAATGATTGTGTTAAGCTAGCACTAAGTCCCTCCCCCGTCCACCTTTACTCTTTTCTTTACAATAAGGCTTTCAAATAAGTCATGGTTGTACGGCAGTGAAGCATTAGTGTTGAACACTGACGTAATGCTGTCGATGCTGCTGCTGCTGCTGATGATGATGATGTTATTGCTTTTGCTAACGCTAGATAGGCTTGATGGAAGTTATTTTGTTGAGATTTCATCTAAACTATGGGGTGAAGTTTGCCAGTTTTAGTAACCCTATTTAAATCGCTGGGACCAGTAGGATTTTTGCTTCTATCTATGCACTCAGTGATGGTTTGTGTGTATGTTTTAATCTTACGATTACTTTCTACAACGTATGTACCAATCGTCAAGTGTGGTGGCGACAATCGATTTCGAGTGAAATTCAACTGCTAGAGCTCGCGAACCAGTGTCATTTCGGGGATGCGTGAATGCGTAGTGAGTATTAATGTTATCAAGTGTGAAGATATCCCACTGCTCGGGAGTACGAAGACGGTTTTGCCGTTTTTCAGGGCACCGAAGCTCTGGGACACTACGCATTCTGCTTTTTTTCGTCTCGGATTCCCCAGTCTTCAATGGAAGTTTTGCCAGTTTAGCGCTCAGTCCATGGGATATTCCGGCGTGTGTTGGTTGGTGACGAGTAGTCATATAGCTGGGAAGCTGCTAAAAGGCCTGACCAGACGTCACTGTGTTTCAGTGTCACACGCATTAGTCGCATTCCCAAGAAACGCAGTGATTGCAGATGGCACATCAAGCGTCTCTGCGTCCCTAGAGGTTTACAAGTGTGGTCGGATTGGTTTAAATCTGCTTCTTTTTGTAGTTGTAGTGCGAGAGAGCTCGCCTCCAGAGCATCTGAGCAGTGTTAACAGTTTCGCCACGGGCCTTTCTTTGGATTTACTGTATTACTACCGTTTATGTACTTTTTGCTGCTAGCTTCTCGGGAAATGGACCCAGATTCTGGTGGCATGATTTCGGGGTTGGGTTGATGTAACCATCACTAGCGTAAGGCTTCCAGCCACCGTTTGCCAATGAGGCGGTGCCGTTCATGGTGTGAGATAAGATGTAATTGTACGCCGTTCGGTGAGTTTATGGGCTTGCTGGGTGTATCTTGTGGCAAAAACTATCAGTCGCTCAGGAATGCTTCCAGTAGCCTCTCAAAACGAACGATACATCTTTTCGTTTGGGTAGTTCTGCACACTGGATGCAAGCCAGTGTGTCCCTTTCTGTGCTGGGTCTGTTGTAACTTCTTCACTATTTGTTATGTGTGCAGCAAAGACAACACTCAATGGTTTCTGAGTTACCCCTGACGATTATCCCACTCTGGTGGAGAATTCTTCAGTTCCAAGATGGTGACCGGATTTTGTGGTTGTATCATTCTCACTGTTAGGGGCACTAAGAGATGCGATATTCTGTGGTCTGGTCTACGGCCCTAGTGGAAGCAGGGGTCATGATGTTCTGATACCTGGTCTGCTGGTAGATAAGGTGGTCAACAAATGTTTTCCAGGTGATACAGAGCTCTGAAGGACCATGTTGATGTCATCTACTTAGCTTTTCGGATTAGATTGGATCACCATGCAAATTGTTTTTTATCTTCCGCGTTCTCTCTTAACAGCCTCCCACCAATGTTCTTCAGAGTGTACCCATGCAGACAGTGAGGTTACCACGGCGAAACTGGCCATGGGACCACTGGGACCTGGTAGACCCAAACGTTCCAAGAACACGCGACATATGCTTGTTGACATGGCTGGTGACAATGACGAGGTAGAGGGCGATGCGATGGTTGAGCTGGATGGGTTGGAACAACGAGATAGTTCGGAAAGTGATGAACTGGAGGATGCCATCGATGGTAATTTCTTCAGCTTATCGCTTCTCTACTCACATATTTCCCATGATTCTGATAAGTTTACACACGTGGCCAACTCATATAGAGATCAGTTTGAACCCATCGCATACCTTGATGGTTACGTGGTTTGTAAGATCACTCTGTTTGGTATCCCACAGATTCCAACCTCACATTAGTTCTACCCAACATTTGAGTCCTTCGAGAGTGATGTTGATTTAGTTTTCGGAACACTCCCTACACCGTGTTTACGCCACCCTAACCCACAAAAAGAGGATTGGTTAGGGTTCTAGTTCGTTTATAGTAAGCAATGCACCCTATCCAAAAACGAAGTGAATCAGTCAGATTGCTGTCCTTTTGGTGGAATTCGAGCGCTTAATCTGTGGATTTGGTCCGATGGAATTAGCCACTTGTTTGTTTGTTTTTTAACGCGAAACAACTCTCAAACTAGTGCATGTATACTGATGAACATTATAATATTTTAGACCATGCTTTAGGCAGTCATTTTGAGAACAATAGTTAGCATTAGAACGATAGCAGAATTGACTTAAAGAATACGGCGTTTACGGTCGATTACAGCCGCAACGACCTTCAGCAACGAATTCACTTTACCTGAACTGCATCAGCTATCACATGCCATTCGATCTTAAATTCTGCGCTTGTTCAAAGGCCTACGTGTGTTGAACTGTTTGTGACAGTCTCAGTTAAAAGTAGCCTATATTCAAAATTCTGTGATGATAGTAAGTAGTAATAATAAATAAAGTGAAAAGGCGTACATTCCAGTGACACCATGTTTGCCATTTATTCATACTTGTCACTATGTTGCGGCATTCAGCTGGTAGCTGTGTTTCTGTGGTACCAACAGCCACCGATTATAGGCCGACTTCTTTGCATAAAATGCACGCACGGTACGGAGTGCGACTACGCGTACTCATGGATCTGCCTTAGTACGAAGCAAACAGCAGAAATAAAGGGCAGAGTTTATGGGTGATGTTGAAAACAATTATTCATGCACTTACAATGCTACACTCGTGTGTTGCGGACTACAATCCATCTAACTAAGGTATCAAAACCAGAGTATACCATAGAAGAATTCCGGTTGTTTACAAACAGTACGCTTCTCACTATTATTTTAGTTGCTTCCACAAACTGTAAACCATGTTTGAGAAAACATTTAGTCTGCTGGTAGTTTTAAAATGAGTATTTATGGTGAACGGTGTTTCCGAGGTTTGTATTTTGCCTGTGACGAGTTCGACTCCGTGTTTTGATATTTGGTGCGGCAGAAATAGGTTTTCTTTGAGCTGCACGGCATTTTTTCCCGATTATCCCAAACGGGCAGCGTGATCTCCGAAACACAAATAGATCGAATCGGTCAGTTAAAAGTGTTGAGAAAACGGCGCCCTTCGTGATTTTTTTGGGGGGTTAGTTTCGACCAGAGATGGAAAAGTGTATTAGATCCATCTGAATTCGCTTCCCGTTCGTACGCACCTACTCGGAATTTTGTGCTCTGTCTAGTGGCGCGTCTAGTTTTTATTATTATTTTTCGTTCGCGATCTCGAACAAGCATAAAATAATACACTTTCCTCGAGAAATACACTCACTCACTAAATGTGCTGTACACAGGCCGCTTCGTGTTTCAGTTGGCACGATATTCGGGATATCGCAGTATATTTTCATAAAGGAAACTACTCACAAGGTTGTCGAAGAGTTTCCAGCAACCTTGTGAGTGAAAATACACTTTCCTCTCCTTCTGAACACTCAATGCATACGATCCTCTTCTCTATGGATTCTATTACAGCGATAAGTCCACATATAATCGCAACAAATCGTTTTCATTTAAATGTCCACATATGTGGAATAATGTGCTTTTTTGCTTGCCCTTGCATTTTATGAAACTAATTTAGCTACCCTCCTAGTATGGTAGATGCAGTTGTACGCCACAATCTTTGGAAGTGAGCTCAAGTTAGCTCACTAGCTACCAACCTGGGTGTTTCGTGGTCTGAATCCGATCCTGGCATCTCGACTACTCCTATTTAGGATGGGAAGCGTGACACTCATCTTGGTTCTCATGCTTCTTTTAAATGAAGACTGAAAGGGTCTTCAGTGGTTATTTCATCATTATCCCGGATATCCACAGAACACATCACTTTTCGTACAATTTTGATCTCCACGGACGTCACTATGTAAGTTGGGATGAAAACCGCTGTGGACGGCTTCATTGTGAATTATTTTGCACCAGAATAACAGACAGATACGCCTATCTTGACTACCGTCCTAGAAAACAGCGCCACTCGACCAATTGAGGCAAGAATTATCATTATCTGACCACGGAATCTTTTCGCGCAGTATCTAAACACTTGTTTACCATATGTAACGCCGCTACACTACACTGCGTTGTCGACGTTGACAGTATGTTAGGTCACGCACGCACTCAGACGAAAATTGGAAATCGAAGGACACTGTCTGAGAACTTAAAACAACGGAACGGCCGAAAACTACCCCAGGGCTGCCTTGGACAAGACCACATAATGTGCGTTTTTAATAACACTATGCTATCCTTGTCCATAAAAGGCACTAAAAAGCTCCTCTCACAGTGTCATCTGTTTTTGTGTGAATTCACAACACATATGGTTCTTATTCGGTTGAATCCAAACACACTGTTGATCACAAAGCATCGGATCAACTTCGCTGATCTAAAGACTACCTAGCAATCGGATAGTCAAAACAGTAGAAATGTATACTTGTTTATTTCCAACTCCATGGATTTTGTAAAAAATGTATACGGAGGTCTTAGTGAAGAAGAAGTCAATATCAACTCTACATGTTATGTTTCAATGTTTTTTTAACGAGGAAGGGTGACATCGCATTGTAACCCTGTGGGAGAACATCATAAACGGGAGATTCACTTGAGCCTGCTTTGAAAACCAAAGTGATTGTATTCGTCGCAATGAGAGACCTATCTTACTGGGACATGCATGCGTGATCAGATAATCATAAAAACCCTTCGTTAGGACCAGAAATCGTGTAGGGACACAATACGAACTGAGACATGTATACAGTAGGGTGATATCCCTGATGTCGTATTTTGTTGTTTTGGCAAGATCCGCCTCTTATCTATACATGACTTTATGTGAACTCAAAGTGAATAACCATTGAGCTATTTTAAGTTACGATTGTTTTCACCGATTGCTCGTGGCATTTGATGAGAGCTTCAAATAGCCAACACACTAGTATACCTTTTTGGTGTGGTACGTCGTGGGGACCACGGGACCAGTCGTTCTATTTCGCTAAGTACTGGTGGCACGCGTTGGTAACGGAATTTTTTTGGAGGATGGCAGATCGTTGTTGTAGCTGCCTAAAATTTGGGCACTCGATTTTCCAGCTGCTCATAGTTTAAGAAGCAGTCCTAATGATCTTTTCCATTTCTTCTGGGCCTATTTCCTAAATACACTCTGATAACTGCGGTTCGTTAATGATTCCAACTGCCAGTGGACCAGTCACAACGATCGATGGATTCTGAGTAACTATCAAATTCTTTAGCATCTTCATTTGCTTAGCATTCTGTCGTGCGTGACACAGTTGGCTTATTATCCACTTTCGCCCATTCCTTTGTCATTCCTTCCACAGCGAAATTCCGGACAAAATGCTCTTTGGCGACAAAAAGGTTTGGCTGCGATTGACACCAACAATTTCCAACCACCTGATTTCATCCTATTACAGATTTGTATTTCACTCCACCCATTGTGTACATATATTTGCTATAAATCCAATTTGTTTATTTGGAAATCATTCCTTATAAGCATCGCACATCGACCTACATCTCCATTTAACCCAAATTTTGCGGCATTCAGCATTTAAGGACAACGTTATTGGTTTTCGAGATCTTTTCAAAGCCGTTGTGATTGTTCACGATTTTAATTCACCTGAAGAGAACGTTTTCGAAACTTTCGAAAAGTGGGATGTCCATTGCTTTCCGTAGAAAGTACCAATGATGGGTTATGTTGCTTCCTATCCCGAATGCTCTTGAGTGTAGAGCAGTAGCTCTCAATCTGCGGGTCCCAGTCTTTTCTCAGGGAACCGATTATTATTTCCTGAAGGGCACTACGGCCTCTCCTACCCCTGCGGAAAATTCGCACAAATAGAACATCTAATAAGCTCGAACAAAGACCGGCTTTGAGCCAAAAGTAGAAAATAACATGCCGTCACGAAGGACATTCTGCTGCAGCACCTGTCAGCAAGAGTACCCCTACTCATTCACTCATGTTCTTTAATCCGCTGTCAAAATTCTAAACTAAAACCAATCCGGTTCTGTTAGCAATTGCTTGGTAGGTGCATAAGGTGGCTGACTGTCAAACGGAAATGATGTGAATAACTTTCGAAAAGTGGGATGTCCATTGCTTTCCGTAGAAAGTACCAATGATGGGTTATGTTGCTTCCTATCCCGAATGCTCTTGAGTGTAGAGCAGTAGTTCTCACCCTGCGGGTCCCTGTCTTTTTCAGGGAACCGATCATTATTTCCTGGGAGTCACTACGGCCTCCTACTCCTGCGGAAAATTCGCACAAATAGAAAATCTAATGAACTCGAACAAAGACCGGCTTTGAGACAAAAGTAGAAAGTAACGTGCCGTCACGAAGGACATTCTGCTGCAGCACCTGTCAGCAAGAGTACCCATACTCATTCACACATGTTCTTTAATCCGCTGTCAAAATTCTAAACTAAAACCAATCCGGTTCTGTTAGCAATAGCTTGGCAGGTGCATAAGGTGGCTGACTGTCAAACGGAAATGATGTGAATGGCGTGAGTTACTAATTTCTGTCACTTGCAACATGAGCTTCTGATTTACCCTCAGACAAATTCAAAAGAACATTTGCTCATCCAGAAGATAGTCAAAACAGCTTTACTAGATGAATCTGAGATGGGAATAACATGACTGTGAGAAAGCGATTAATTAAATCCTGGGGAGAAGAAATCGGGTGGCACGTGCTTACTCTTAGTGCAGTGTGAAATAAGTCGGCACGGTCGACAAGGTCGAGTTCTGCCGCATACCGTAAACTGGGTGCCCAGACAGATGTCATCAAGTGAAAACCGATTTGTTGTGATGTTCTTCTCACTGCTGTAACTTATTACTATCTTGAGCGCTCTCAGGGCATCCAAACAAGAGGGTAACTTCAACCAAAT